GCTTTTTGCCTGTCAGCCAATCCTCTATCTATGCCAGTACCTTGCCCCTAACCCCATGGGCTCTTATGTTATCTGGCAGCCTCCTGTGTGGCACCTTGTTAAAAGCCATCTGGAAATCCAAATAGATTTACTGCTTTTTGTCATTTATATGAATGATTTGGATCTGAATGTGGGTGGCATGGTTAGTAAGTTTGCAGATGACATCAAAATTGGAGATGTAGTGAACAGTGAAGAAGGTTTCCTCAGTGTACAATGGGATCTTAATCAGATGCACCAATGGGCGGAGGAGTAGCAGATGGAGTTTAATTTAGATAAATGTGAAGTGCTGTATTTTGGAAAGGCAAATCAGGGCAGGACTTATACACTTAGTGGTAAGGTCCTAGGGAGTATTTCCGAATAAAGAGACTTTGGAACACAGCTTCATAGTTCCTTGCAAGTGGAGTCATAGGTAGACAGGGTGGTGAAGAAGGTGTTTGGTATGCTTGCCTTTATTCGTCAGACCATTGAGTATAGGAATTGAGAGGTCATGTTGTGGCTGTACAGGACACTGGTTAGGCCATTTTTGAAACACTGTGTTCAATTCTGGTCTCCCTGCTATAGGAAAGATGTTGTGAAACTTGAAATGCTTCAGAAAAGATTTACAAGGATATTGCCAGAGTTAGAGGGTTTGAGCCACAGGGAGAGGCTGAATAGGCTGGGGCTATTTTTCCCTGAAGTGTCAGAGGCAGACGGATGACCTTATATTGGTTTATAAGATCATGAAGGGCATGGATAGGGTAAATAGATAGGGTCTTTCCCCAAGTTGGGAGAGTCCAAAACTAGACAGCAGGTTTAAAGTGAGAGGGAGAAAATTTAAAAGGGACTTAAGGGGCAACTTTTTCCAGCAGAGGGTGGTGCATGATGGAATGACCTGCCAGAAGTGGTGATGGAGACTGGAACAATTACAACATTTAAAAGGCATCTGGATGGGTATATGATTAAGAAGGGTTTAGAGACATATGGGCCAAATACACGCAAATGGGTCTAGATTCATTTAGGATATCTGATTGGCATGGTCGGGTTGGACTGAAGGCTCTGTTTCTGTATGGTACTTCTCTACGCTCTCATTTGTCTAACCTGCTTGTTAGATCCTCAAACATTTCTAATAGATTTGCCAGGCATGACCCCTTGATGAAGCCCTGCTGACTTAGCCCTATTTTACCATGTACTTCCAAGTACTCCACAATCTCATCTGTAATATTGCACTCTAAAATGTTACCAATGTCTGAGGTCAGTCTAACAAGCCTATAATTTCCTATCTTCTGCATTCCTCCCTTCGTAAAGAAGGGTGTTACATTAGCCATTTTCCAGTCCTCTGGGACCCTCCCTGACTCCAATGATTCCTGAAAGATCACCACCAATGCCTCCACAGTCTCCTCAGATATCTCTTTCAGAAACTTGGGGTGTAGTCCATGTGGTCCAGGCAATTTATCTACCTTCAGACCTTTCAGCTTTCCCAGCAACTTTGCCTTAGGGGTGAATACTTCACCAATCTCTGACTCCTGGCTCTCTTGAAGTTCTGGTATACTTCTGCGTCTTCCACTGTGAAGACTGCTACAAAGTACCTATTTAGTTCCTCTGCCATTTCTTTGTCCCCATTACTACTTCTCCAGCCTCATTTTCTAGTGGTTCAATGATCACTCTTGTCTCTCTTTTACTTATATATCTCAAATAAACTTGCAATCGTCTTGTACATTACTAGCTAGCTTACCCTCATATTTTACCTTTTATTGCTATTTTAGTTGTCCTCTGCTGGCTTTTAAAGGCTTCCCGATCCTCTGGATTCCCACTAATCTTTACTACTCTGTACACCTTTTCTTTTGCTTTATGCTGTCTCTGACTAGCCTTGTCAGCTATGGTTGCTTCCTCCTACCCTTAGTATGTTTCTTCTTCCTTGGGATGAATTTCTGCTGAGCCTCCTGAATTAGCCCCAGAAACTCTTGCCATTGCTGCTCCACCATCTTCCCTGCTAGGTTCTGCTTCCAATTAACTCTACTCAGCTTCTCCTTCATGACTTTGTAGTTATCTTTACCCAATTGTAACTCCGTTACATCTGATTCCAACTTCTCCCTCTCAAACTGCAGGGTGAATTCTATCATATTGTGGTCAATACCTCCCAGGCAATCCTTCACCTTCAGCTCCCTAATCAAGTCTGCCTCATTACACATCACCAAATTCAGAATTGATTGTTCCCTCATGGGCTCTAAAACAAACTGCTCCAAAAAATAAACTTGTAGACATCCCGCAGATTCCTTATCTTGAGTTCTGCTACCAACATAATTTTCCTAGTCCCCCATGACTATTGTCATAGAAAAGGTATGTAAAAAAGACACTATCTCTTGATTTATTTTCTGACCCACAACCTGACTATTGCTCGGCTACATAACGCCCAACAGGATCTTCCTTCCTTTGCAGTTGCTCAACTCTACCCACACAGATTCTATGCCTTCCAACCCTATATCATTTCTTGCTATCAATTTAATAAACTCTGTCCTCTCTGACCATCTGCCTGGTTTTGCGATAGGATGCCTATCTCCTCGGGTATTTAGTTCCCTGCACTGGATCGCTTGTAGCCACATCTCTGTGATGCCCAAAACATCATACTCACCAATTTCAATATGTGCTACGGGCTCATTTATATTGTTTCTTATACTGCACACATTTAACTAGAACACCCTCAATCCTGTATTGACCTTTGTGACCGTCCTTGAGTTTAAAAAAATCAGAAAGTTATGTCCAATGCCTCTGAAATTTCCACTCTCACTTCCTTAAGTATTCTTGGATGTATGTCATTCTATCCTGGTGCTTTACCAACTTTTAAGTACAGAATTCCATTCCAATATCTTCTCCTTATCAGTCTCCTCCTTAAAGCCCTCAAGTGTCAGGACTACCTATTCTTTCACCATGACATGTGCACCTTTATTGTCATTAGTAATGGAGATGCATAGTTATCTTTTATTACCTCAACCACACTTCTTCTATGTATAAATCCCATTTTCAAAAATGTATAATTTCATGGGATTTGGGCAATACCAGCCAAGCCAACTTTTCTGAAGAAGGGTCTAGGCCCGAAACGTCAGCCTTCCTGCTCCTCTTATGCTGCTTGGCCTGCTGTGTTCATCCAGCTCTACACCTTGTTAGGCCAACATTTGTCGTCTATTCTTAATTGCCCTTGAATGGAGCAGCATGCTAGGCCTGTACAGAAGGAAGACAGTCAACCACATTGCTGTGGATCTAGTCACATGTAGGCTAGACTGAGTAAAAATGATTCCTTCTCTAAAGAACATTAGTGAACGAGATGGGTTCTTCCAAAAATTAATGATCATTTCCTGGTCACCATCTGGGGGAGGTGATGGCCGAATGGTATTATCACTGGACTGTTAATCCAGAGACCTAGCTAGTGTTCTGGGGACCTGGGTTTGAACCCCACCATGGTAGATGGTGGAATGTTAATTCAATGTAAATCTGGAATTAAGAGTGTAATGATGACCATGAATCCATTGCTGTTTGTCGGAAAAAAGCCATCTAGTTCACTAATTTCCTTTAGGGAAGGAAACTGCCATCTTTACTTGGTCTGGCCTACATGTAACTCATAGCAACGTGGTGACTCTTGGCTGCCTTCTGGGCAAATTAGGGATAGGCAATTAATGCTGGCCTAGTCAGTAATGCCCTCATTCTGTGAATGCATTTTAAAAAATTACTAGTTAGACTAGTTTCATATTGCAGATTTTTTAATTGAAAGACTTTTGGCCTCCATTTTATATATTTACTTAATTCCTTCACTCTGAACCTTCTATATTCAGTGTGGTTCTCCATCATATTATTCACCTGTCATCTATCATAAGTCTTTATCTTCTTACTAACTTTTATATCAGTTTTGTCTCTCTGGATTTGTTTGTCCTACCTTTTCCCTTCATGTGATTATACCTTGATTGCATTGCTTCATTGGCTTCATGACTCTGATTGGAGAGAATGCACTATAGAACATTGATTGATCCTCTAAACTTTTGTTTAAATTTAGAAAAGGTAACATTGTGACCAATCAGTATCCTTTTCTTATGCAGTATAAATTGTTATTCCCTTTGAAATTTGGCATTCTTGTATCTGTCCTGAAGACTGCATGACAAAAAGCTTTGACAATACCTTTTCTCAAGCAATATGCAAGCTCTAGACTAATCGTGAACTACCTGTCTTTTGTGATGTAATGTTCAGCCAATACTTCCTAACTGCACTACGCAAATGACATAGTAAGTAACGTAGCCATAGTTCCAGAAGACCACTCTTTCATTTAGATGGTGCTTTAACTTTCCGGTCACCACGCCTCAGGCAAAGGTTGAGACTGAAAGGTGTTAACCTCAGCTGTTGCGGGAACCTGCACTGTTGGAGTCATTCTGCATTGTAAACCAGCTGACCAGCCAGCACAGCCCAACCCCTGTAATTAGCAGACAGATGAGGACATTGCACTAGATCAATATACAAAATGCTAAAAGGCCTGGATAGCGTGGACATGGAGAAGATATTTCCACCAGCTGGAGTGTCTAGGACCTGACGGCACAGCTTCAGAGTTAAGGTATGACCCTTTAGAACTGGGATGAAGAGGAATTTCTTCAGCCAGAGGGTGGTGAATCTGTGAAACTTATTGCTGCAGAAGGCTGTGGAGGCCAAGTCATTGAGTGTATTTAAGACAGAGATAGATTGGTGTAAACAACAAACCAAAAGAACTGTGAATGCTGGCAATCAGAAACAAAAACAGAAAATGCTGGAAAATCTCAGCTGGTCTGGCAGCATCATGAAGATTAATCAGAGTTAAGGTTTCAGCTCCAATGACCCTTCTTCAGAGCTGGACTGGCAAGGAGATCAATGGTTCTGGCGAGAAGGCAGCAGAATGGGGTTAAGAAACATATCAACCATGATCTAGCAGCGCAGCGGACTTCATGGGCCAAACGGCCTAATTCTGCGGGGATGCTGCTGCGTAACTGCAACGACGCTGTGTGAACGCGCCTGCGCGTTACAGCGATGGCCGTCCTCGCACTTTGAGCGGCTCTGACTAGAGGCCACCGCTTGAGAGAAAATCTGTGCTTCAGGCCGACGGATTGGGTTTTTACTCCGGCTATTTACCGAGGGAGCAAAAAAAATCTGACCGTACGGAGTGAAGCATTCGTGGTCCGTTTCGCTGTCCTTGACGAAAGTGTGAGGTTGTAGTGAGAGAGAGGCGGATGGCTCAGAAAATTAACGAGGCGTTGGAACATATAGCCGCAGCTGAGAAATGGTAAACAAGCCGACGGCTGAAGTTGAATTGTTTTTTTTTCCTTCCCATTTTTTTGAGGCAGTCGCTTTTGTTTTAGGTGCGTTGGCAGAGCTAATCCACATAGTTTCTAACGCTTCGTTTTAACTGAAACTGCTCGCGACCGTCGGCCCGCCTGACTCCGACAGAGGCATTCTGGGAGTTGTAGTTCCTTAACCTTTGGCTGTCACTGTTAACTTCCGTTGGCGCACTATGATTCCCAGGGTCCTTTGTGAAGTGTACGTTTCCTGGTTTTTCCCTTCAATAAGATCAGTGCAAATGAAGCCAAATTCGCTGGGTTTTTTCCCAGAAAATAAATACCTGTCCAAATCGCTATACCTTGCAGTTGCCTCTTGGACGTATTGTCCCATGACACTCGCTGGCGTTACCATGGCTGAATCCTCCATACCAACATGTTTTGGGGGCGGGGTGGATATGATTGACCAAAAACTGCACTGGACTATCCGTACAAACAACGAGAATGCTAGAGAAACTCAACAGGCCTGGTAGCTTGTGTGGAGGGAGCAGCAAGTTTTTGATTTGCGTTTGGTGTGACTTCTCAGTTTTTCAGAAAAATTAAAATGATAATCCCATTGAAGAGTAGAGCAGAACTTTTTCCAGATGGGCATGCCTGGAAGAGAAATGGCAGTTAATTAAGTACTCGGATATCATGAAGCAGAGTTGCTGTCAGACCTGCTAATTTGTCTCCGACACTCTGTTTGTTTCAAACTTCCAGCATATTTAGTGTTTGTTTGTTTTTCAAGCCATATAAGTACTGCGTGCCTACAACAGCAGGCTAGGAGTCCTGCAGTGAGTAATTCACCTCGTGACTCCCCAAAACCTGTCCGCTATCAATAAGGCCCAAGTATGATAGACTGGCCTGGATGCGCAGAATTAACAATGGTCAAGAAGCTTCACACAGTAGCCTGCTTTGCTGGCACTGTACTCACAAATGTTTCACTTTATATGTATCTGTATGGACTTCAATAAGGTGTTTGACAAGGTTCCTCATGGTGGATTGGTTAGCAAGGTTAGATCACATGGAATACAGGGAGATCTAGCCGCTTAGCTACAGAAGTGGCTCAAAGGTAGAAGACAGAGGGTGGTAGGTGGAGAGTTGCTTTTCAGACTGGAGGCCTGAGACCAGTGGTGTGCCACAAGGATCGGTGCTGGATCCACTGCTTTTTGTCATTTATCTAAATGATTTGGATAGAGCAGAGGAGGTATGGGTAGTAAGTTTGCAGTTGACACCACAATTGGAGTGTAGTGGATAACGAAGAGGGTTACCTCAAAGTACAATGGGATCTTGATCAGATGGGCCAATGGGCCAAGGAGTGGTAGATGGAGTTTAGTTTAGGTAAGTGTGAGGTGCTGCATTTTGATATGGCAAATTGGGGCAGGACTCGTACACTTAATGGTAAGGTCCTAAGGAGTGTTGCTGAATAAAGAGACCTTGGAGTGCAGAATCATCGTTCCTTTAACATGGAGTCGTAGGTTGACAGGGTGGTAAAAAAGGTGTTTGATGTGCTTGCCTTTATTGGTCAGTGCATTGAGTACAGGAATTGGGAGGTCATGTATGGGACATTGGTTAGGCCACTTTTGAAATATTGCGTGCAATTCTGGTGTTCCTGCTATAGGAAAGATGTTGTGAATGGATTCAGAAAAGATTTACAAGGATGCTGCTAGGGTTTGAGGTTTTGAGCTATAGGGAAAGGCTGAATAGGCTGAGGCTATTTTCCCTGGAGCATTAGAGGCTTATAGAGGTTTATAAAATCATGAGGGGTGTGGATAGGGCAAATAGACAAGGTCTTTTCCCTGGGGGTGTGGGAGTCCAAAACTAGAAGGCACATGTTTAAGGTGAGAGAGGAAACATTTTAAAAGGGATCTAAGGGGCAACTTTTTCATGCAGAAAGTGGTGCATGTATGAAATGAGCTGCCAGAGAAAGTGGTGGAGGCTGGTACAAATACACCATTTAAAAGGCATCTGATGGATATATGAATAGGAAGGGTATAGAGGGATATGGGCCAAATGCTGGCAAATGGCACGAGATTAATGTAGGCTATTTGATTGACATTGACAAGTTGCACAGAAGGGTCTGTTTCCGTGCTGTTCATCTCTGACTCTACCACTGATGCACTGTGTCAGCAATATATACCATCTAATAGATGCACTGTAACAACTAATCAAGGCACCTTAGGCAGCACCTTCTAAATCTACGCCTGCCATCATTTAGAAAGGTAAAAGCACGAGATGCATAGGAACACCACCACCGACAAGTTTCTCTCTAAGTCATTCACCATCCTTACTGAGAATATATTGCTGTTCCATCAATGTTCTTGGGTCTATCACCTTCTCAAGGATAATTAGAGATGGGCAATAATTGCTGGCCTAGCCAGCAGAACCCACATCTCATGAATGAATTTAAAATATAGAACTGGCATGGTTGCATTGCAAATATCCCTAATGCTGTCAGGCTTTTGACATCTCGTGGTGTCCATCCTGTGTGGTATGAACTTACTGATATCAGTTTTTCAATTAATCCTGTATAATTTTAAACAAGACTTCCACGATATAAATAAATTGTATTCTGCTCTATTTTTAAGTGGTTTTATTATTTGCTGGGATAAAGAACTCTAGCTAGATAGATTGTAGAAGCTGAGGCTATTCTTTTTGGAGGAGAGATTGAGTTGATTTGATTGATGCAAAATCACGAGGGGTCTGTAGGTAAGGGAAAAGGTGACGGAAAGATCGAGAACTAAGGGACACTGATTTAAGGGGATTTGGCAAAAGAAGCAAGGATGACATTGGGAAATCCTTTTTATTCTGCACATGGTTAGGATTTGGAATGCTGTGCCCAGGTATAATACAAAGCCTTTCAAAAGTGAATTGCATAATTATCTGAAGGGGCTAGGTGAGTTGTTCATCCAGAGAGCTGGCACAGACAGACTTCTGTGCTGTATATATTCCATGATTCTTAATCTGTGTGGAAATTGATGCGTCTAAAAAGGACAATTAATAATTCACTCATCAGGGAATGTTAGCTTCATGGCTTTTAGCAATTTTCACAAAAATCACAGAAGTCATATGATCTGGAAGGCAGCCATTCGGCCCAAATTGCCTGCACCTGTTCTAACAAATGAACATCATTACCTAGTGCCAATCTCCTTTTCCCCTATACACATTATTTTTATCCATGTAATCAACAGGGCTAAAATTTTCAGAGCTTAGTATATTAATATATTCATTAATTCCTTGTTGGCCATATAACAAACTGTATTCAAGCTGCTCTTACAAATATAGTGGACTGATGGAAGTTGAGACCATCTTTGCAAATATTAAGTGTACTTTAGAATTGGTTCAGTTCTTGAAGGGAAAAGGGCATGGATGCGGAACTTATTAGAAATTCTTTCAAGGCAAGCACCATTTTTTAAAAAAAAAAAAAAAAAAAATCATTCATGAGATGTGGGCATGAGTGGTTGTACCATCCCTAATTGCTCTTGAGAAAGTTGTGGTGAATTGCCTTCTGGAACCACCACAGTTCATTTGGTGTAGGTACACCCACAGTGTTGATTGAGAGGTGAATCCAGAATACTGATCCAGTGTCAAATGCATGGCAATGTATTTCCAAGTCAGGGTAGTGAGTGGCTTGGAGGGGAACTTACAGATAGTGGTCTTCCTACATATCTGAGATAGTGAGAACTGCCGATGCTGGCGTCAGAGATAACACATTGTGGAGCTGGAGGAACACAGCAGGCCAGGCTTTCCTGTTCCTCTGATGCTGCCCGGCCTGCTGTGTTATGTCAGCTTTCCTGTTCCTCTGATGCTGCCTGGCCTGCTGTGTTCCTCCAGCTCCACAGTGTTATCTCTTCCTACATATCTGTTGCTTTTGAATTCTAGATGATGGTGATCGTGGATTTAGAAGATGCTGTTTCAGACTTTGGTGAATTCCTGCTGTGCACCTTGTAGATGGTACTCACTACTGTTGTGTGTCAGTGGTGGAGGGAGTGAGTATGTGAGGATGCAATGCCAGTGAAGTAGGTTGCTTAGTACTGTATGGTGTCAAGCTCTTGAATGGTGTTGGAGTTGTATTTGAATTGGAATATTGTTGGAGATGGTGGACGGGCTCTGGAAGTCAAGAGATGAGTTCCTTTGTGCAGGATTCCTAGTCTCTGAACAACTATGATGAGCCATATCTTTGTAAATGCTGATTTGTGATCTTCTTATACTTTAGGTTTAGGACATGCTAATGCACCCAAACTTTGAGAAACAATGTGCGTTAAAGTTGTGCTCCTATGAGAGTGTTTATTTTAGTCTTTTTTGTTTAAAGAACACATCTCTAAGGTTTTGGAGTAGATTTGTAGCTCGGGTTGTGGGTGTTGAGGTTGGTTGGCTTGCCGAGCTGGTTTCTTGTTTCGCAGACATTTCATTACGATGCTGGGTAACATCCTCAGTGCAACCTCTGATGAAGTGTCATGTGTTTTCCTGCCTGTTTTTTTATCTCTGGAGTCTGTTGAGATGGATTGCCTCACTTCCGGTTTTCCTTTGTAGTGGAATGTATGTGGGGTCGAGTTCAATATGTTTATTAATAGCATGCTTCGTGGAGTGCCAGGCTTCTAGGAATTCTTGTGCCTGTCTCTGCCTAACTTGTCCCAGGATTTTGGTATCAGAGCTTCGCGGTGGGGTTAAAATTGTATTCTGATGAAGGGTCTAGGCCCGAAACGTCAGCCTTCCTGCTCCTGTGATGCTGCTTGGCCTGCTGTGTTCATCCAGCTCTACACCTTGTTATCTCAGATTTTCCAGCATCTTCAGTTCCTACTATCTCTAACCCTAGGATTTTGGTGTTGTCCCAGTCGAAATGGTAGTTCTCCTTGTCCATGTGGTTTGAGATGAGTGAGTATTGGTCATGTCTTTTTGTAGCCAGTTGGTGTTCATGTACTCTTGTTGTTAGTTTCCTTCCTGTTTGTCCGATGTAGTGTTTCTCACAGTCCCTGCAGGGGCTCTTGTAGATGACATTGGTCCTGTCCATGATGGGTCTTTAGCTTCGGTGAGCAGTTGTCGTAGGGCTGACGTGGGCTTGTGTGCCACTCTGATGCCTAGCAGTCGTAGGAGTCTTGTGGTGAGTTCCGATGTATTCCTGATGTAGGGTAGTGTGATGAGTGTGTCGGAGTGTGTAGTATCTTTCTGATGTTCTTCGTGTAGGCATCTTCTGATCCAGTTTTTTTTGGATATCCATTATCCTAGAAAGAACACATCTTCAGGAAATGTCCCAAATTTGTTTAGTGTCTTTATTTAGGGTTAAGAGGGCTATTAATTTTTCAGAACATATATAATTAGGGATTTGGCTCTTGTGGCGCACAGGTAGTCTGAGCCAAAAGGTCTGGCTTCAAGTTGGACCTCTTGCTGTTTATAGTTTATATAAATGATTTAAACATGAATGTAGGAGGGTTAATCAGCAAGTTTGCAGAATTTGGTGGGCTGGTGAATAGTGGGGAAGATGGCCTCAGCCTCAGATTACAGGAGGATATAAATGGGCTGGTCAGAATGACTGATTAGTGGCAAATGGAATTGAATACAGATAAATGTGAGGTGATGCATTTGAGCAAGACAAACAAGGCAAGGGAATACGTTATGAACATTTGGACCTTGGGAAGCACCAAGAGTAGAGGGGACCTGATTGCATGTACACCAGTCCCTTAAGGTATCAGGATAGGTGGGTAAAGGGATACTTACTTTTATTGGCCAAGGCATAGGTTTAAAGAGTAGGGAGGTTATGCTGAAACTGTATAAAACATTGGTTCAGCCACAGAGTATTGTGTACAGTTCTGGAGTCCAGATTTGGAGGGATTTGATAGCACTGGAGAGGCTATGGGCTAAGTGCTGGAAATGGGATTACTGCAGTTAGGTGGTTGTTTTTGAATTCTGTGGGATAGTGGGATGTCAAGGCTGCATTTGACTGAGCTCAATACCTTCTTGAGGGGAACTAGGAATGGGCGATAAATGCTGGTCTAGTTAGCGAAGGCCACGCCCACATCCGCTGACAGAATAAAAAATAAAGTCCAGATCTCTCATATGTGTCAAACCTTGGGTACTTTACTGCAATTCTGATTTTTGTCTCATGAAAACCTGCTTTATTTGCTGTGAAAGTGTTAATACAACACGAAGCTTTGTTAAATATAATTCACTTGATCTGTTCTGTTTTATTTATAGTCTGAAAACAGGCTTTCTAAAATGGAAACCTGATTATGACAGTGCAGCATCTGAATATGCAAAAGCAGGTAAGAACAAAAAATCTTAATGTTTTGAAGTTGCTCTGTAGAGTATTAATCTCAGTTCAAGTTTGATCTCTCCCAAAACATATCTCTTTTTATTGTTGATTCAGAGATAGTAGGAACTGCTGATGCTGGAGAATCTGAGATAACAAGGTGTAGAGCTGGATGAACACAGCAGGCCAAGCAGCATCAGAGGAGCAGGAAAGTCT